TCTACTTCAGCTGCCTCCCACTCCAGATGTAGAACTCTCAGCTCCTTCTCCAGCACTGTGTCTCCCCGCATGCCACCATGTCCCACCATGATGATCATGGACTAAACATCTGTACTGTAAGCCAACCCCAATTAGATGTTTTCTTTTATAAGAGTTGCCGTGGCTATGGTGTCTCTTCACAGCAATAGAAGCCCTAGCTAAGACACAGAGGCCTTAAAGTTTTAATTAACTGATCTAAATTGTTGAGTGAATCTCTGAATCCCTAGGGATCAAGCCCCAGTTGAGTTAAGAGGAGAGAAGCTAAGTGCATCGACTGAGATAAATGCCTGGGAGGATTTTCTAATTAGTGACTCCTTCTTTGCCCAGGCAGCAAAGAACTATTGATGTCACCATGAAACTTAAGAGTTTGCATCAGATGGAGAAGATGGTAGATGAAGAATCGGTCATTTCCAACACGGTGAAAAACAAGCCCGAGATGACATCCAAATTAATTCACAAGGGGGTAAGAGGGTGGGGACTGAACAATGAAATAAGCTTCCCTGAAGGTCACAGCTATGCCGCATGTTAAGTTGCTACACAGTAAGAGAGGCGCAGGTGGTGCCAGAAGAGGGTGATGGGTGGATGTCATTGAAGTTTAGAACACAGCGACGGATCTGTCACTGGGAACATAATATAGTAATTTGCGATGTTTAGTGTACGTGTCTCCTTCCCTGCCTATCTTTATCGCTCTAAGTGTCCAAGCTGTGGAAGAGCAGCTGGTGTTGGCCTTGGTATGGGGGAGACATGAGCAGCTTCTTTTCTGTTGCAATGCAAGCATGTGCACGTCTCCCAACACTGCAAGTATGAACTGATAACACGCATAGAATGTTGTATCAGTTCTATGCAAAACAACACAAGGCATGCAGAGAATAATTTCCTTTTGGAAAGATCCAAGACTTTAGTTGATGCGGACAAACAGCGGGGTTCTAAATTGCACCTGAATGTGGCACCTGGCCAGGATGGTAGTACATGCCTGGAATCCCAGTACTTAGAGACCTCAGGCAGGCAGACTGACACAGGTTCGAGGCTAATTAAGACATATAGTCATACCTTGTCTCAAAAAACTGAAAAATAAGGCTGGAGAGAAGGCTCCGAGGTCAAGAGCACTGGCTGTGTTTCCAAAGGTTCTGGGTTCAATTCCAAACAATCACATGGCAGCTCACAACCATCTATAACGAGATCTGATGCCCTCTTTTGTCACGAAGGTATGCATGTGGACAGAACACTGTACACGTAGTAAATAAATAAATCTTTTTTAATAAAAATAGAGGGATTTAAAAAATAAAGAGAAAACGAAAAGAAAAAAAAACAATAATACCCCAAACATAAAAAGAATTTACAAAAAAAAAACCCCACAAAACTAATAGCATTTGACTGTCAGTAAGGATTTTTTTTCATATCTGTCTTAAATGGCAAAACATTTACTTTGTGGATGAACTATGTGAATAGAAAATCAGGTCCTCACATTTATTGAACAAGGACTTTCTTCACTGAGTCGCTGCCCCACCCCTCATTGGAAGATTTTTAAAATGCATGTTACCTAGCTAACATCATCGAGCTACGAAAATAAATGCTCACTGATCAATGGAGGCTGGAAAACTGTTCTTCGGGGTAATTTTAGTTTGCTGTCGGCCTAGAGCAACCTTCTTTTCTGCTTCTGTCAGGAACAGCCCTCCCAAGTGGGTGGCAGGCAGAAGAAAAGGTAGGTTTCGAAGGATGAAGAGGTTGGCTTGCGTGGATGAAGGGTGGGTGTTCAGGAGATCTGAATAAAGGAAGAAAGTGGACTTTTCTAAATCAGCCTTGCAAAGAACTAAGATGCTTGGCGGGATCCTTTTCCCACGGTTCCCCACCTCCCACTTGAGTTTCCACGCTCCCACATGGACTTCATGAGGCACACAGTGTGCACACATGCTTTCGTACCCTGGTCAGTAACAAAGTGGGGATGTAGCTCAGTGGTAGAGTTCTCGCCCAGTACCTAGAAGGTCCTGTGTTTGACTGTAGCTCTGGCAGGGAGAGAGCAAACTGGGGAGGGGATCAAAGGAACGTCTCATCAGGTCCGATGTAGTAAACTACAGTTATTATTTCAAATTATCCAAACCCCAAATATGTTTCTGCCCAGGCAAAGTTTCATACTTTCGAATCTGAGTCCCTCCGGTTGTATTATTTGAAGTCATCATCATAGCTGTCATCCAATGAAGTTCTGTCTCGGAAATTGCCAAGATGCTAATATCAAGTAAGACATGGACCAGATTCTCCTCCTCAGCCTCACCTTGCTGAACTCATGGGGAACTTCTACCGGATACGACCGACCGCTACTGCCCTGCCAGGGAATGAGGTCCAAAGAGGGGTTTAGGCACGGAACCCCAGAATTTGCAGTACGTTGGCACTCCCAGGGCTAACCACAGCCTCTTCCTACAATGCGGAGGTGGTGGCAATGCTCCAGGCCAGTGCCTAAGCCCAGGTCTGCAGGCTGTGTGGTCCAGATCTTTCTGGCCACACTAAGTGTTAGTGTTTATGCTCATAACAGACAATTAGAAAGTCTATGGCAAAAAGTCAGGACAGAATTATGACTGCTTTGTGGTCTTCATGCGCCAGACACTGAAGTACTCAGCAGGCCCTCACCCACCCCCCAATGTGAACGGGGAGAGGAAGCAGGAACTGCCGCTCCCCAGCATCCCTTCCTTCTGAGGCAACCTGCTGTTCAGGTGATGCCACCCCGATAACCATGCCCTGTGGAGAACTTGTGTACTTTGATGTCCTTTGTTGAATGACCAAGTGTCATTAAAAGCCATTTATAGGTTTCTGCGGGGATGGCAGTTTTGAAAAGGGAGAAACGGGTGCTGAGCACACTCCTCCCCTAATGCTAGGCAGTGCCTTGTGTAACCCTCCCTAGAGTCACCAGACTCCCCAGAGGACGGATAGGGACTCATGAAAATAGAAGGTCAACTAGGCACAGAGGAAGCCGGACAAGAGACAAAGCTCGCTTTTTAACCTTTCTATCACGGTCTCCAGAAAGTCTTCATGAGGTCCAAGCAACTCATACTTGAACCCCAAGTCCTGAGTTTGCTCAGCAGTACAAATGACACCTGGAGGCCAGCCACATCCCCAAATCTTTCCCATCCTTTATCCAGCAGACCTGCCCTGACGGGGACACTGTGGCTGCTATATTCTGTCTGATGTGGCCACCACCAGTCTTGTGCCTTACATCTGGTGAGAGTTCTGCCCTTGCCTTTCGCCAGCTCCCCGCACCCCTTTGAGACAGTTTCTGCATAGCCTATGGATGGTCTTGAACTTACAGGGATCCAACTGCGCCAGCTCCAAGTGCTGGGGTTAGAGATACGTGCCACTCCACCTGTCCCTCTGATGTCACCCTCTAAACCTCGGTATTAAGATATCATAAAGTCCAGCCGGAGAGACGGCTCAGCGGGTAGAGTGTCCGACTGCTCCGCTCGAGGACCGTAGTTTGATTCCCGGCCCAGCGCAAGGAGTTCTGCAGTCTGACAGCGCCCTCCGCCGGTCTGCAGAACGACCCACAGGCTTTCACCGTCCACCATAGATCCGCGTAGAGTAGTAGGGGGGTAGGGGGAAAAATATCATAAAGTGTCTCTCATTCATGAGGCCCGGGTGTCTGCTGATGTACATGCCTGGCATCCATCTCTTACGGTGTCTCCTGGGTAGCCCTTAAAGCCAGAGCCATCATCACGTGAACCCATCCACCAGAAGCATAGGTGGACTTTTAATGGTTGGTCAATGAACCTGCCCTTCAAGGCTGAGATTAAAACCCCTTCATCCCCTCCTTTACTCTGCCCTCTTTTAGAAACTCAAGTCAACAAACTCCCTGCTAAGCAGAAAGTTGGTGTTTTCCCAGTGTGGTTGTAAAACCAGTCACCCTGACACACTGGAGAAACGAACAAGCTGTGCCTTGCTCTGTATTGCCCCAGACGCTGCCGTGTTACTAGGTCGTAGCTACCTGCTCTCTGTAAGTGATCACAATACAGAGGTTGCCATTCCTCGTCTGTTACTGCCTTCTGTGCATTTAAGGAGGATAGAGTAATCATATTTGTGAGGGTGTGTATGCTTTTGTCTGACTTCATTTCACGATACATTGGTTAAAGCGGGGTTTCATTTTCTTTTTCTTTTTTTTATTTTATTGATTTTTATTGAGCTCTACATTTTTCTCTGCTCCCCTCCCTGCTTCTCTTCTCCCCTTCCACCCTCTCCCAAGGTCCCCATGCTCCCAATTTACTCAGGAGATCTTGTTTTTACTACTTCCCATGTACATTAGATCTTTGTCTCTCTTAGGGTCCTCATTGTTGTCTAGGTTCTCTGGCATTGTGATTTGTAGGCTGGTTTTCTTTGCTTTATGTTTAAAAAACACTTATGAGTAAGTACATGTGATAATTGCCTTTCTGGGTCTGGGTTACCTCACTCAAAATAATGTTTTCTAAACCCATCCATTTGCCTACAAAATTCAAGATGTTGTTATTTTTTTCTGCTGTGTAGTACTCCATTTCCTTATCCATTCTTTGGTCAAGGGACATTTAGGTTGTTTCCAGATTGAACATAGTTGAGCACATGTCCTTGTGGCACAATTGAGCATCATCCTTTGGATATATACCCAAAAGTGGTATTACTGGGTCTTGAGGAAGGTTGTTTCCTAATTTTCTGAGAAATCACCACACTGATATCCAAAGGGGCTGTACCAGCTTGCATTCCCAACAGCAATGCAGAAATGTTCCCTTTACCCCACAACCTCTCCAGCATAAGTTGTCATCAGTGTTTTTGATCTTGGCCATTCTTACAGGTGTGAGATGGAATCTCAGAGCTGTTTTGATTTGCATTTCTCTGATGACTAAGGATGTTGAACATTTCCTTAAATATCTTTCAACCATTTTAGATTCCTCTGTTGAGAGTTCTCTGTTTAGGTCTGTACTCCATTTTTAAATTAGATTATTGGTTCTTTTGATGGCCAGTTTCTTGAGTTCTTTGTATATTTTGGAGATCTGTCTGCTGTGAGGCTGATGAAGATCTTTTCCCATGCTGTGGGCTGTCATTTTGTCTGGTTGACCGTGTCCTCTGCTTCACAGGTCCCATTTATTGATTGTTTCTCTCAGTGTCTGTTAAAGCACGTTTTTAATATGTCATCCAGGTTAATGTCAGGGAGCAAGGTTGAGGCCCTAGGACTGACAGTGTTCCTATGGGCTGTCTATTGGTGAATTCCACCTCAGCTTACAAACAACACTTTCCCACTCAGACCTCTCTGGAGCCAAGGCTGTCAATCACTCCCAGCCCAGCAGTGGTTTTACAAAATGCACAAAGGGTAATTTCAAAAAGACCCCAGGATTTTCCGACTTAATCTTCATTTAAAACTAGGACCCAGGTCATCAATCCGCATGTTCCTCCTATCTACTGAAACCTGGCAGGTACAAAAGAACACAAGCGTGTGATGGGAGAGAACACGCAGGGGTGGAGAGAGGTGGGGCGTTCCGACTTGAGCAGCTCTGATCTTGAGGACAGCCCTAAATCTTTTCCTCCTGTGGAAGCAAGTAGATCACTTGATTGGCCTTACCCCCACGTGCTATCAATTAGCCTGTGGGACCTCACTGTCAAGCAGTGAGTTCCATTGTTCCAACACGAACATCAACATCTGGGGGAGGGGAGATTTCTAATTTTAGCTCTGAGGAATTATGCCTATTCCTCTCCTTATGACAAGTTCAATGATGAATTTGTAGCAATGTGGCCTTTTGTCACTAGTATTTTATTTAAAAAAAAAACACACTTTGGTTCTGGGTCAAACTTTCAAATGACGCTCAACCTTCAAGCATTGCTTTCTTCCTGAAAAGTTAGAATGTTTTCCAATGATGATTTTTCTTCAAAAGAGCTTTTTTTTTTTAACACAACTTTTTGCAAGTTGCACGCTAACGCTTCTGAAATGAAAATATTCGCGCCCATCACATCGCGACAACCAGGACACGTGTTCACCCGAAACTGCCACACTGAACAAAACATCGGGCCTGTGTGATTTAAAGATTTGCGTCACATTCACCAGGAATCCTCACCTATTTCTAGACAGACGAGGTTGAGATGGCGATATTCAAGGAACGAGGAGGGGAGGAAAGAAGACACTGGTGCAAGGGAAGGGATAGAAGAAAGAAAACTCCAGCCCCAGCTGAAGGACAGCGTTGCAGCTGAGAAGAGCCTACAACAGAAGCTGGCAACAGAGAGTTCCCCAGCAGGCTCAAGTGCGGGGAGTTCTTACAAGACGGACCAAGGTGAATAGTGACAGATATCAGTTGCAAAGTTCAGCTCGGGGCTCCTTTATCCTTTTCATCATCCTAACAACTTCGCCGGAAGGCGCCCCCCCCTGCCCAAAGTTGTGCAGCCAGTAAATAGTAGATCCTGGGTCAGAACCCAGCAAGCACGCTGTAAAACTCAGCCCCAGGCTCTGATCCAGCCACACTGTGGAGCTCCACCATGGTGTCATCCTGCGGGACTGCCGCCGTTTATTCTGAAGACATGCATGGCTGTGGCTTCGCTCTAGCCCCATAGACCTGGACCACACACTTTGGGCTCTTTAATTGCAGCAAACTTATCTTCCACACAGTGAATATGATGTTTGGAAACTACCTAAAATCAGAGCCTTGTATAACAGGCAGGGTGACGTTTGAAAAATGTCTGAGAAGAAAAATGGTCAATGATGGTGAAGAAATAGAAGTGGTTTCCGTGTGTGTTCCAGGATACAGCGTTGCCATAAGGAAATGGGAGCTTTGCTTGTATGGGCGGTTGATGATTTTAGGACCTGGGAGGTTTGCTTAGAGTAGGAGAGTCTGGGGTGTGTGTAAGGGCACAACTTAAAATGTTTATGATTCTGTCCAGTCACTTTTAGAGTCCGCCGCTCCTTCCCTGGGCTTTCCCATAAGTACATCGAGAACATTCTTGGCTTGCCTGATGAACAATAAGAAGCAGGGACAGCGGCGTGGGTGACGCTGAGATAGCAATCTCGCTTATATAAAACACCGTGACAAAAGGACATCACGGAAGAAGCAGTTCATTGCAGTGTACGGTGCCGGAGGGAAAGTCCACAATGACAGAGGAAGCATGGCACCAGGCAGTTGGAGCAGGAAGCTGAGAGATCACCTCTCCTGCTGCAAGCCCGAAGCAGAAAGAGCAAAATCGAAGTGGGAGGTATAAACTCTCAAAGACCACCTCCAATGGCGTGCTTCCCACAGCAGGGTTCCACCTCCTAACAGGTCCACCACGGTCCCCCAAACCCACCAGCTGCGAAGCAAGGGTCCCAATACCCGAGCCTATGGGGAGGCATTCTCATTCAAACCACCACAAATATCTAACTAGACATACGCCAGGAAAAAGTGAAACCACATCAGCGGCCGAACTCCACCAACTGCGGCGCCTTGGGAATTCCCCGCAGCTGGGGGCTGGCAGTCTTAGCTCTGGGGTCCATCAGTTGGTGCAGGTTAGTTAGGATGGGGGAGGGGAACTGACGCACGCACCACACGGCGGAGGGGGGGTGATGAGTAAACACAAAAGACGTGTATTTGTGCCGTGGGAAATTGACCTTCCCCATAACTATACAACTTGTTTGTGAGCCAACAGTAAACTTTCCCTGTCTGTTGAAGCCGATTTCTCTCTGGATTTCGAGAGATTCTTTGCCCATCTGTCACCATGTGGTCAGCGTGGGCAGTGGCCATTACAACAGACTGTTTGTGTTGGGCTTTATCTTCTAGATTCCCTCCCTTTATCTTCGATGCCTGCAGCTCACCTGCTGATTTATATAGTGCGGTTTCTTAACGTACTTCGTCCTTGCTCCTAATATTAACGGTAACCAATAATATCCCTTGAATCCTTAGGTACTTATTAGGTGTTCGCCCAGTTAACCCCCACAAGCACCCTGGGGATGGCTTCCTCTATCGCTCACCTTTCACAGATGAGGAAACCAGCGAGAGAATGCTTTCTCAGAGTTCCAGGGTTAGTAGCTGGCAGAACAAAATACAAACACAGTTTGATGCCCACACTCTCAACCACAGCACAAACTGCGTTCTGAGTCTTCCTACTTGGGTGTTTTGACTATAAAAGCCGGGCTGAGAGGAAGCAGCTGTTTTCTCTCTCACCCAGGCTCTCCCTAACTGCTCTTGACACCTTTGCATTTTATCCATGCAGAACAGAAATGTTTATGTAAACTCCAGGTGAACACGTGCCTTCTTTTCTACATGACCAAACATTTCAGAAACTTGAGCAGATGCTGGCAAAATATTGAAATCCAGTGACGTCCCGGATGGGATGTAAAGTCTCTTGCTATGGTGGTAGAACCAAAACCATGCAGGACTCACTCCATTCTGCACGTTTATAAGGGTTACCTTACACACAGCCTCTCCAGTTGGCCCCTCTGAGCTACCAACTGAGGCCAGCTACATCCACACTGGAGAATATGAAACAGGAGGGTTATGTACCAAACAGCAAACAGTATTTAAGAAACAAAACAAAACAGCAAAAATATAAGGTATCAGAAATTACCAGGGACTCCAAGTAGACTTAGGCAGCTTGTGTAATTGCTCAACTTACTTTTCTTTCTTCCTTCCTTCCTTCCTTTCTTTCTTTCTTTTCTTTCTTTCCTTCTTTTTTCTTTCTCTCTTTCTTTTTTCTTTCTCTTTCTTTCTTTTGTTTGTTCATTCTATCTTTCTTTCTTTCTTTGAAATGGTAATATGCAGGGCACCTCTGTTCACTTCATGAAGAGGACTTGAGATGCCACCAACGGTGTGCAGGAATGTGCTAGTGAAGTGGCAGAGTGCCACAGCTCCCTGTACCTCCCAGCTATCCTTGCCCTAATCCTGGCAGTGACCTCACATACCGTCTAGTCTGATTCCTCTTTACAGGACAGAAAGCTAACGCTCGGAGAGGTCAGATGCCTCCGGCCAAGCTTGTTTCCCAATCCCTGTTCTCAGACCCTCTCCTTCCCCGAGCTTTCACAGTAGACTTCTACTGCAGGAGCTGCCATAACCATGAAGTACTCAGTGCACACCCCAGCGAGTAAATACAGTCATTCGCATAGGAACCGGGAGGGAGGAACGAAACAACAGGTGCTTTGAAAGGATTACAAAATGCCTTTGTACCTGGCTCATGTAAAAGCCACTTCCATGGTGACAGGAAGGACATTTATTGTTTTCACTTAACATTTATTAAATAGAGTGTGTTGCAGAGCAGGCTTTTCCATACAACCCCTTTCTGGCTGTGTGCAAAAGCTTCTCAGGTGCCTGTCATTTCTTCCTCTGACTTACAAAGATGCTTATTGAACTGCAAAAGGTAAGTAAACAACAGCCAAGGGCTCCGCAGAAACCTAGCTAATAGTCCAGGGCTCACTCTGAGAGAAGGGATCAAATGCCTGACCTTCAGAGGATCACAGAAGATTCCAGCGCACAAGGCTTAGTTCAGGAAGTGGTCACACCCTCTACCAAAGGAGAAACAAAAGCTCCAGGGTGACAAGAAATATTCTGAATTTTTCTCAGTTGTGTGTGTATATATACACTCATAGGCATGTAGACCCCCTGGAGCTGGAGTGATAGGCAGTTGTAAGACGCCAGACCCTTTGCAAGGACAGTCCACCTTCTTAATGGGTGAACTATGTCTCCAGCCCCAAGGGTTACAAGAAATATTTTGATATGGTCTAGATGTATGAGAATCTTATGAGAATGTAGATTCCATAAGTCCGTGAATGGATGTGATGTTTTACATTTCTTACAAGTGTTTAAGTGATGCTGATTCTGGTCTGAGGACCACACTGAGAAATGCATTCCACAAGCATCCATCCTTAGCTGGAGTTGGGTGGGGTGGGCTGGGCTAGAATTACAGGAAATAAAAAGTTGCTGAAGTTTGTTCCTCAGTAAAGGAGTAATTAGTGTTACCTCTGCCACTCACTAAAGAGACATCTAGTAATCCTAACTAGCATTAAAGTCCCAAGTGCTGGAACTGCAGGTGTGAGCCAGCATGCCTAGTTCTACATTATGAGGCGTGAGCTACCACACCCAGCTCCACACTGTCAGGTGTGAGTCACCACGCCCAACTGCACACTACCTGGTGTGAGTCACCACACCCAACTCTACACTGTCAGGTGTGAACCACCATGCCCAGCTCCACACTGCCAGGTGTGAGCCACCATGCCCAGCTCCACACTGTCAGGTGTGAGCCACCACGCCCAGCTCCACACTGTCAGGTGCATTATTTTTCCCAGCTCACATTGTCAGGTGTGAACCAGCATGCCCAGCTTTACAATGTTCACTTGAAGGGTCAGCTCCACTTTTAAGACATCAAGTTAAAAAAAATAATTTGAGCCACAAACTTCATGTCTTGCGTTGGGCAAAGTTAAAAGGGCTGAATTCAAAGGACCTCAGTGCTAGACCTGAAATATCATAATTGTCTCAGATGCGGCTTAGCCACAAAGACACTGGACAATTACTGTTTTATTTTTATTGGAGTTCAGTTTTAAAGTGTACTCAAAACATAAAGCAAGTAACTGCATGTGTGCAGGTGTGACCCTCTCTACGTCTCTAAGAGCGGCTGGAGCTTGCAGGATGAGGTTCTTCTACTCACACAGCTGCAGAAAGTCAAATGACCGCCAAATGTCCCCCTGCACTGCTTCCTCTGAGTTGTCACATAATAGGAGCACACGGTATTTGATTTTGTTGCTGTTGTTTCAGCTTTTCTCATGTTACCTGTACATATTGTTGTATCTATGAGTTTATTTTTATCTGATTGCCAGCTGGTATATGCTGGGGCTGCATCCAGGTTAGGATAATTACAAAGAAAACTTCTGTGAACATTCAAAGGACCGGTGAGTCATATGTTAAGAATATATCAAACTTCGTAAGAAATTGCCAGATTGGGCTTCTGAAAGTACCTGTGTTGTTTTGTCGTTCTGCTAGCAACTGAGAGTTCAGATATTTTTACATTTTCTCCAACACTTGGTATTTTCAGTTATTTTAGTTTTAGATCACTGTTGTATGTGTGTGTGTGTGTTACCTTATTTAATCTCCATTAACAACTAATTGTTTTGGCTATACTTTTTATACATCCTGTTGGCCAATTGTCTGTCTTATTTGGCTCACACTTGTTTACAATGGTGAACTTTAAAGATTGGTGAACTAAAGCCAAAGAAGTGAAATGAAAACATAAATTCCCGTGTTTCTTACCCAGAGCCCTTGAGATAGTGCTCCCAAGGAAGAGCCAAGAGGCGCTTTTACAAAGTCGGGAAGACTTACCTAGTGCCAATGAGATGCTCAGCAGGCAGAGGTGCTTGTTGCAAGCCGGACAAACTGAGTTTGATCCCAGAACTCACATGGTAAGAAGAGAGAGTGATTTCTTCCACAAGGTGACCTCTGACTCCATACACGCCACAGAACATACAACCCCCCTCTAAAAAATGTAAAGGAAAAAAATTAGATGCACAAATCAAAGACTGTGAATTTCTATAGCTTTGTGTATTTAGTTGGATGGATTAATTCACAGGTTGTGGAGGATAAATAGATTTTAATGTCATAGAATAATTTTCAAGTAAGAGTATCTAAGTCCTAAATTAATTTTTAAATCCCTTAGATTATTAATTTATAACAGAAAAGTATAAATGGGGGCATTCATTACAAAGAGGACCTAGTACAGTAGTCATGCGTGTAGGCTGAGTCCAGTGTGACTGGAGAAAAGTAATAGTGACATCCTATCAATCGCCCACGAGAGTTCTGAGGTCACTGGCGCCGTGACGTTCTGAAGGGAGGGGAACTGAAGGCATTTAGAAACCCACAACGTATCTGGCCTCTGATGCAGGCGATGCACACACCGAATGCAGTTGCCACAACTGTGGCTTCAAAGCAGATAGCCACTTGGCAGCCAGAGCCAGATTGCTGAGAACAAGGAAGCCACGCCCTCGACAGGCCCCGCAGCTGCAGAGTGCAGCTGTTTCAGCACATCCACACTTCATCTTTGTTTGCAGGACTGTAAGCCTCTGGTGAGCATTCCAGCCTGGTGTCTATATGTTCTCCGTGTTCCTTTACTCCGGGTCTCCTGGAGAAACTAAGGCAACTGTAATGACAGGCTTTGAAACGTATTGTAAAATAGTAAAAGGGAACAATGAGAAAGAACAGAAGTGCTGACTGGAGTCAAACACCCTGCCTCTGTCACACGTAGGAACATTACTGAGCCCTTTGCGTGTCAATGTCATCATATGTAAAGCTAAAATGATAATAGCCACCCCCAGAGCTTGCTGAAATGGTGCATGACTGGAATCTGTGATGCAGGAAATGCTCAATAAGTATATGTCATCATCATGTAGACACCTAACTGCAAACTAGCAATCCCGAGAACTAAAAACATAGATATGTAATAAAAACAGAATATTTCATACATATATGTGATGGCTTCTGAGCTAACAAAGAAAGAAAGAGAGAGAGAGAGGGAGGGAGGGAGGAGAGGAAAAGAAAGTGTGCAAAGCCTGGAAACTCACATCAGCAAGGCTAAGGCAAGAGGACTGCCATGCGTTCAAGGCTACCTTAGGCGATACAAAGAGCTCTAGGGTGCCCTGAACTGTCACACATTTATGTGCAGATGGCGGGAGAAGGAGGAAGGAATGGTGGGAAGTACGGAGGGAGGGAGAGGTAGAGGGAGGGACGGAGGAAGGGGAGAGGAGATAGAGAATGTACTAATAATTGCAATAAGGTATATTTTCGATCTAAAAACATGCTAGTGAGGACTGGTTTCTACAGAAGTACCTCCATGTACATGTAAGGTGAAGACTTCGGGACCAAGGAAGTCTTCCTTGGCCTCCTCCAGGACCAGGAAAACAAGCCTGAGGTTGTCTCCTGGGAGCGAACCCCTGGCTTAATTATGCTCAGCCCAGATAGCAGGCCAGGTGTTCCTGAGGAAAACTCTTATCAGACATCCTGGCTTTCCTAGCGATCCTCTCCATGTTGCTCACAATGACTTCCTGCACTGCGGGCATTACGTGTTCCCCAAAGATCTATGTTCATCACATAGCAGTTGTGGAATGTGTGTGGCCACAGATACCACCGGAAAGGTGCCCAAGAACCTGGCAGACTGCCCAATTCCCAAATAGATAAACTTCTCTTTATTATTTTCTTGGGAGGGTTGTTTTTTGTTTTTCTTCATTTTATGGTTTTTTTTTTTCAGACAAGGTTTCTTTGTGCGGCCTTGGCTGTTCTGCAATGTAGTATGAATTCTAATTGGTCTTAATAATAAAATCCTAGAGTAAGATATAGGGATGAATGCTGAAAGATCAGAGAAGCAGAGCAGTCGGTCACTAGAGAGTTCTCACTTCTATCAGTGCTCAGACCGAAGGGGCAATCCTGTCTCTAGGAATCCTCAGACTACATCTGAACTCCTGTCTCCTCCCGCCTTAAATTCCTCTCTCCGCCCAGCCATACCGTCACTCCTGCCTTCACCTTCCTAATGTTAGTGTTGATATTAACGGTATGTGATCCCGAGTGCTGAGATCACCTTTTAAACAGATTCAATTTCGTGTAGCCCAGGGTAGCCTTGAACTCACAGAGATCCATCTGCCTCTGTCTCCCGAGTACCGAGATTACAGATGTGTGCCACCATCACGGGGCTAAACTCGTCTTTCTTGGTGTACGTTTTCCTGACTTCTTTCTTTTGATCCTATCGGGGTCCTGAATGGCCTCCACTGTTCTCCATCCAGAATACAGACTGGAAAGTGACTACGTATTTAGTGAACTGCTTCAAGCCCTAGGGTTTTGGCGCTGAGAAGAGTTCGCACCTGTGAACTCACGTGGGAAGGTGCGAGCCCGGGAGAGCTCAGAGAACTTCTGTGGCGCGCAGGTCCCTATTCCTGAACCGTGGAAAGCCAGAAAGGCGAGACAGAGAAGAATCATTCCTAAACAGCAAAGGCCAACTTTGCAGCGAATTCCAAAATTCTAGAGTCACGTGAGTCCAAAGGGGAAAGTTGTGAGAGTCAGGAGAGGGGGCAGGAGGCAGTGAGAAAAATAGAAGTGACAAAAATAGGCCTTCAGTGTTCTGGCTGCTCATTAGACCAGCGCCGAACTGGTGCTCATATGGCCCGAATAACTGCTACTTTTTATAAGTAACTGAAGAGCTATAAAAAGCTTACCATTTAGGCAAACAACAAACAGCTGTGGTGAATGCGCAAGAAAAATCCAAAAGAGCAGGCGGGTCTGTCTGGGTGGCAGAAGGTCAAGCTGCTTCAGGAGGAAGTGTTAAAGCTTAGCTCACATCTGGTACCACGGTGTGCACCCCCACCCCCACCCCCACCATCCCCGCTGGCCATGCCTCTCCCTGCGCTCACCCTGACCCTTATCAAAGCGAAAGAGCCAACGCAAGTTAGTAGAAGGCTCCGCAGTTGTTTCCTGAAAACCGCATTGTTAACACGGGGAGACCTAACCATGAGTTAAACAGTGCACACTTGAGGTCTTCCAGATCAACGTGCGAACAAGCCCCTCCCTCTCTGAGGTCAGTTGCCACTGTGTTCTGGATGAGCCTCATTGACCAGGGACCCCTGGGATTCGTTTCTGTGTACCCCAAGGTGTCCTACAGTTGCCCTTCCCTTTAACGGCAAACGTCATCTGCAGGGACCGCAGCTCGCAATGTCCCTCCCGACTTCCTCAGTTAGTGGTCTGTAAACTCTGTCAAGAGGAAGCTGCCAGAGGGAGGCAGTACAGTAAGGTGAGCAAATATATTCTAAAGTCACCTCCAATGCTCCATGTTCAGGACTTGAATTCTGACCCCCTCGGTACCTGGATTTCCTCAATAGTAAATTTAGTAAGGCCAAGTTCCCCTCCTCTGGCCTCCCTCTGACTCTCAGGTCAGTTGCTGTCCAATGCTTGAGACCAAACTTGAGTGGCTCACGGACTTCTCCCCTCTTTTCTAAGCGTTAGGTAATTTTCTTAGTAACACATCATAAGTACTAGTTGGAAGAAATAGAAAGCAAGCAGGGCAAAGGCGGGTCTGTTCTGACTGTGTGAAAGATTCTTGATTCTTGTGTTATTGGAGGAAATAGAGAGACAACAGCAAAAAGGCAGTACACTCCGGAGAGAGACCGGAATGGGAAGGGTGGACAAAGCGCTTTGGATTCTGTGTTGTGGGCTGTAAAACCATTTTAATGAGTATTTATGACGTGGTAACACAAACATGAGATTAGGTGACTCCCCTTCCAAATCATGTTGACCTAGATCAACTTTTCAATGCAACTCTTCCCATAATTCTCTTCAAAATGCCCCAAGAAGGGTCAAAATCACAATGCGCACCATCATAACGAAGGCTGGGTCTTTTGAGAGTGTGCGGACCATTCATAAGCTCACAGGAAAGGTAACTGGATGTGCGCTGGCACGCCTCAGGTGCACCGAGAAAGACCCGATTGCAGTTTCATGCATATTTAATCACAAAGGTTGCGCCAGTCAGCCTTCATTGATACATCCACAACACAGCTTCTCAAAAGAGAGCGTTGTGGAAGAGGAAGAAATGGTTCTAAGAGACTGAGAACCAGGATGTCTGCTTCAGAACTGTGTCTTCTATGTATGATAGCAAAGCCGCACTCAGGAAATCTCAACAATACGGTTGCCTAAACAGGACCTAAAAGATGGCAACACCAGTTGACATGCCAACATGGACGGGGGAAATCTCACACCGACCCCCCCCCACTAGATGAAGAGCTACAGGAAATAGGCAGCTGATAAAAAGATAATCTTCCCAAGTGATGAGCCTCTAATTGGTTATCCAGTACCACGTGGTCTACCCTAAAAGTATACATACAAAGAAAATCAAATGGACTGAGCAGGTTGCAATTATAGACTTAGTGTGTGTTGACACAAGCTAAAGTCATCTGAGAGGAGGGAATCTCAATTAAGAAAATGTCTCCAAGATGCAGAAACCTAGGGCCGTGGAAACTCCCTGGAATCTATGAGACTAACCCCAGAGAAGTCTCCTAGTAATGGGGGATATGGAGCCTGAACTCTGAACCTGCCATCTTCTATAACCAGGCAAGGCTGGGACTGGGAAACCAGCCCATCCACGAAACCTTCAACCTACAATCCATCCCACCTGCAAGATGTGCTGGGGTAATGGTGGCACAGAACTTGTGGGAGGGTTCAACCAATGACTGGTCCAACTTGAGGTTCATGCCATGAGAGGGAGCCCATGCCTATGATTGCCTGGAGGGCCAGGAACCAGAGGCAAGACAGCCCAGAGACCCAGGATAGGACCAAATATGATTGGTCAAAAAAAAAAGTCTATGAAATGAATCCTAACAATAGTCTGCTGAAGAGGCTAGCCCAATCACATCAGAGAAGCTTCATCCAGCAACTGATGGAAGCAGATGCAGAGACCTACAGCCAAGCATTAGGTGGAGCCAGGGAAACCCCATGGAAGAAGGGGAGGAAGGATTGTAGGAGCCAGAGGGGTCAAGAATATCAGGAACACACGACTCACAGAATCAATTAAGCAGGGCTCACAGGGGCTCACAGAGACTAAACAATCATGGAGTCTGTATGGATCTGATCTAAGTCCTCTGCATATAACTTATGGTTGTATAACTTGCTGCTCTTGTGGTACTCCTAAGAGTGGGGATGTCCCTGACTCTTTTGCCTGTTCTTGGGATTCTTTTCCTCCTACTGAGTTGCCCCATCTATTCTTGATATGGGGATTTGTGCCTAGTCTTTTGTTTGTTTGTTTTGGTTTTTACTTTTTTAAGACAGGGTTTCCCTGTGTAACAGTCCTAGCTTTCCTGGAACTAGCTCTTGTAGACCAGGCTGGCCTTGAACTCACAGGGATTCACCTGCTGAGTGCTGGGATTAGAGGCATGTACCACCAATAGTCTTATTGTAATTTGCTAGGCCATGTTCAGTGGATATCCCTAGAAGGCCTGTTCTTTTTTTGAAGGGAAACAGAGGAGTGGACGGGGGTGGTGGATGAGGGGAGTGGAGGGAAGGGAAACTGAGGTTGGGATGTAATGTGTAAGAGAAGAACAGAGAGAGAGAGAGAGAGAGAGAGAGAGAGAGAGAGAGAGAGAGAATATTCCCCAAAGATCCAGCTGTAGGCAAGCCTATAAGGAATTTTCTTAATTAGCGATTGATGAAGTAGGGCCTCCCTGGACTGGGGGTCCTGGGTTCTCTAAGAATACAGGTTGGCAAGCCAGAGTGAATAAGCAAGTAAGCAGCATCCCTCCATGACTTCTGCACCAGCTGCTGCCTCCAGGTTCCTGCCCTGGGGTTTCATCATAGCAATAGTGATGTGCAACCAAGCACCGGGCTGGGCTCTGTGAATCCAATTGATGGGAGAGAGGAGGGATTATATGAGCAAGGGAGATAGAGATCATGATGGAGAAACCCACAGAGATAGCTGACCCGAGCTTGTGAGAGCTCACAGACTCTAGAAATACAAGCTGGGGAATCTGCATGGAAGCAAGCTAGGCCCTTTGCATGTGTGTGTGTGGGGGGGGGGGACAGTTGTGTGGTCTATTTGTGGGGCCCCTGGCAGTGAATTTTTCACAGGGCAGGATCTGTCCCTGGTGCATGAATTTTTGGAGACCATTCCCTATGTTGGGATGCCTTGCTCAGCCTTGCTGAAGGGAGGTTCTTGACACTGCCTTAGCTTGATATGTCAGGCTTTGCTGACTCCCCATGGGAGGCCTTACCTTTTCTGAAGACTGGATGGGGGTGGGGGGAAAGGTGGGGAGGGGACAGACAGGAGGAGGGGGGAAAACTGTGGTTGGTATGTAAAATGAATAAAAAAATTTAAAATTAAAAACACAGTGTATATGTAACTGATAAATAAAGAAACAGAGCCTATAAACTTGAGAGGGAGTCAAGGAGGGGCCACGGAAAGAGTTGGAGAAAGGACAAGGGGGAAGGAAATGATGCAAATACAGATTTTAAAAAATAAACTTATTTTTTTGAGAAAGGAAACATCCAACACCGAGAATCTACACTTAGGTGAGCTCTAAACAAATATTTTATCTATCAGCCATTGCTGAGGGAAAACGAAGGGTTTTCTTTTTGAAACAAGTGGATGTTTGGTTTGCATCTTTGCGACAAAATGTCCGACATAAACGACTTTGGGGAAGGAGGCTTTAAGTCACAATTTCAAAGAATGACTACTGATCCCATTGCCTGGGACCTAAAGTGAGGCTGGGAATAAAGAAGGGAACCACGGTGTGGTGGGACAAAGCTACCCACTTCTTGCTGCTACGAGTGAAGAAGAGCCCAGGAGGACATAGCCAAGACATATTCTCAGATCCCACCTCCCAACAGTTCATTCAGGTGTGCCTCCATCCATGGATTAAACCATTGATGAAGTCCAGTTGTCTCTGGAAATGCCTTTAAAGATGCACCCAGAGGCATGCATGCGCTCTCTCTCGCTCTCTCTCTCTCTCTCTCTCTCTCTCCTTTAGTATGCCATTGGGCGTTTTGTCTGCTTGTATGTCTCAGCACCGCATGCATGCAATGCTGTCAGAGGCCAGAAGAGGGCGTCAGATTTTCTAGACTGGAGTTGCAGGCAGCTGTCAGACACATTCAGGTCTCTCAGTCCATCCAACTCAACACCATCAGCACAGTTGAGGCTGTTTGTTCTCATGACTGTGAAGCTGTCAGAACATTTCACCTGCCTCTGGGGAAAGATATGCATTATAGAAAGGCCTTCTTATCTCAGCAAAGTGGGCAAGGTATTCCAAATAAGGAACTTCTCTTGCACTTGCTTTAGGACACGGACCTCCAGTAGACAGATATTTAATTGAAATCTGTACACAGAGAGTCATTCATTTCTGGAGCTTGTGGATTCCATACATTGTCGTCCCTAAACACTGTGAATCCTCTTTCCGCTAGGTAATCATCCTTGTCATGGACGAGCCACAATGGAGATCAAAGGTATGAGGCAGCTCTTGAGGTTTGCTTCAACACCCCTGGTTTAAACTTATAGCCCCGGTCCACTCGACACAGAGCGAGGCACCGAAAGATCTCAACACTGATGAAGGCACAGAAACGACTTGTGTTGTGAGTGTTTCTATTCTCAGGATGCCCTCCACTCCCAGGAGTGGTCCTCCAAGAGGGAAGATCCCTACTCTGCCCATCCATTCTCCTCTACTCTCAGCGGCAGCTCCACGCTCTCTCCTTTCCGGTGTTTCTGGCACATCCTTCCCAAACCACAGCACCAAAGTCCAAGCCAATACAGAAAACCTGGGCTTCGAGAATGAACTGCCTTCCCCTCCAGGACCTTGTTTACTTTGATTCTTCATCTGTGCGTATGCTCTGTTTTGAAAGGAGCACAATTAGAATCCTGCCTTTTCCCAACAGGGTATTATTTTTGCTGACCCAACACTGGCTCATTCCAGGATTAATCTCCCCAGTGCCCTAGGAGGGCAAATAGGTGGCAAACATGAGGGAAGCGCTTCTGTGAACACACTCTTTACTGGAACCTATCCCATCGCCAAACTCCTCTGCCAGGTTCCATTAGGAAATTGCAAGCAGATGCATCTATCCAAGAGCTCTCTTCTCTCCTCCCCATAATATATCGACATCAGATTGCAGGGAGGGGGCAGAGCAGCCTGCCTTGCGTGGTTCCTGTGCACAGCAGACATGCAGGCCAATGCGAACCCCAAGCACACAGCTCATGTGCACATGAGGACACGTCACCAGCGTGATTCTATGCAGCTACCAGACAGGGGAGGACAAAGTGACAATCGATAACGTTGTACTTCAGAATGTCAAGTGAAGGCCATGACAAGAAGGGCAGGCTGCCCCGGGAATATGAAAAGAACAGAAATACCTAAGGATTGATTAGGGGCTGGGCCAAATTCCAGGCTTGAACGCATCACAGATTCTGCTAAGAGCTCCCAAGGGAGGGCTCCAATGGGCAATTTTTTTTGGGGCCCTGCATTCCATTCTTCTGATACAGACATCAGGCCTGCCTGGGAGATGACTGGAGAATTAAAAGCCCAAGCAAAAAGTGAATTCAGGAAAGCCTGCTTCCCCATCAGAATGCTTTCGGTTTTCCTGAGACACCTCCCACCATCTTTGAAAAGAGTGGATTTTATTATTCCACTTTGCCATTCTGGCTCCCAACGAGGGCCAACACCAGCATGCAGGAGGATAAAGAAAATCTCAGATGACAATGGCAGTCGAAAGGCAGGAAGACTGCAGCGTGGCAGAGACTTCCAGATGGAAGTGTACAGGGAAAGCCGGAAGGGAGGTATGGTCAGTCTTTAAGGGGATGCCCTTTAAACTGTTTTCCTCTTCTTTCAGGAACATTTTGGTCTTGTCTTTTTTTGTGTGGACAGAAACATACGCTTAATCACTAGCATATTGTATGAAAGAAAAATATATAGACCTTCAAGACCTCAAAATATATAGCCCCGGTTCCAATCTTCATTACCAGAAATAACTAGAGGAAATGAGAAGCAGGTGGGGAAAGGCTTTCCTGAACGATGCCAGGGCTTCGTTTTAATTCAGCTTGTGGACGGCCTGCTCCCACCGCCCCATCTCGCTGACCATATATTCAGAGGTCAAGCTACTAAAATCAAGCAAATACACTCAATTTCCTTTAGCCCTAACCTCTGCAGTAGGAAGCACATTTCTCTTGAAATGACATGAGCTTTGGACTTCTGAATTCATTGAAGACCATGTTGAAATTACCTGGACGGGCAGCGAAAATCCGAAAGAAGTTCTTTATGTCCTCAATGGCTAAAGGAAATCTTCCTATGGACGGTGATTACGGTCTGTGGGTGTCACGGATGTTTCACTTGGTGTTAGTATCTGACACCATCTTTTGTTAGCGGCTGGTAACTAACTGGAGGAAGGAGGCAGGGGAGAGACCCGAGGACACACCGCTGCTCCTTTTCATAAACAGCCCACATTGCTTCTTTTACGTTCTTTAGGCAGTTGTTTCAATCCCTGGAAATTTCAGAACCGCCCAAGAATTTAAAAGTGATCATTAGCATACGCTTTGAATATATACCAGAGACTACTGTCCACAAGGAAGAGTAAGATCTGTTCATGATACAGCATTCCACGGTGAGTTGACAGGCTGGCTCCGAGAGCATTGCTCACGATTTCAGTAGACAAAGAGGGGGTGGGGTGTCAGGAAATGCAGTGAAGCCCTGCTTCTGCCCCTTCCTGGTTGCTAACCTTTGACAAGTCATTTAACCTCTGAATCACTCAATTTCCCTATCTGTGAAAGGAAGCATTGAAGCCTATCGTTCCCAAAGTCACCTTCTGCTATAAAGTTTTATGATGACTAAGTCTCTGGATCTATTGGAAAGGCCGTGGGGTGGATTTGTAGCACTTAGACCCCCAGGGAGCTAGAAAGACTTTAAAGTGATACACGATTGTAACAGAAACCTAAGATGGGGTAACCTTGTTCCTAATGAAGGAACCTGCTTGAAACTCAACTCTGAGCAAGGAGAGCTTGAGCTATGGTGGACACCCACAAAAACTGCTCCCCCAGAGAAAAGTCAGAACTACCACTTTAGGGCTTCAACTCACTTCCTCACGTCAATTTATGCTCTGGATGCTCCAAGAATACTGCCTTTCTCTTACTGAGCCTCTAATGTAACCAGAAGACAGAAACAAATGCCCCCACATGACTGTGTGCCCACTAACCTCCCCTCCCCATCCGCCCCCACAAACCACAATGTCAGTGGCTCCCATACTGATGCACAGACCCTGTGGATAGAAGGATGTGGTCCCTACTGAAGGGGTGGGTTATTGCACTTCCTGGTCAGGAAAGCTCAAGGCCTGATGTTCTTTAGTGTCTGGAGTCAGAGATAAAGAACCAAAGTGCAGGTGTGACACCCTCCTAGGGTTCACAACTCCATTCATTGCTGCCTGATCTCTGACATTCTTTCTTTTGACTCTGCTGATACAAATGTCTCTCGGCCGATTGTGCTCAGCCTGGTTTGTGTAATGGTGTCTACGTGCAGGAGCAGCGTGAGCGTCCGTATTCACTCTGCTGTCCGGGGAGTGTGGGGCACATGGCTGTCCTCAGCCTTTCTCAAAACATAAGATGCATGAGCAAATTAGCCGAAATAACTCTAAGTTTCTCCCATCATTTCCCCCTCTCCTGAGCATGCCATTGTATTGACAAGCACTCTACCTTGATGACGCAAAAATACACTTGCTGGGTGAATTCTCTGTTTGAGGTTATTGTATTTCACTCTCTAATGGTTATTCCTCATCATCTGAAATGTATTCAAGCTTTTTGAAAACCCTACCTTTTTTATGGATTGGATAACAAGACAGACTTTTGGGGGATTGCTTATTTTCTCTTCATTATTTCTAGCTGATAGGTACTGTTAGAAGTCCAATCCTCATCCCCTCTGCTATATTCAGACTATGAAGTCCCAACCCTGATACCAAACAATGTGGCTGTCTTTAGAAACAGCCATGCTGGAGAGGTGTTGAGCTAAGATAGAAGGATCATGCCGGAGCAGGGGGAGCCCCTCACCCCATGTGGTCAGTGTTCTTGCTAGAAGAGGAAATTCTGAGAGACGCACACACAAGGAAAGCAAACACCGTGTGCCAAAGCAGGTAAGAATCATGTTTCTACAAGTCAAGGAGCACAGAACGCAGGTTGCGATGCATCAGAGCTAGAGAGCGCCCCCACAGGATGTGACGTCACGGGGAAGCGCCCCCGTTGGTCTCCGACTTCTCAGCTCCGGAACTTTGAAATCCAGAAATCTCTGTTAAACCATCCTGTTGGTGGCACATATGACAGCCTTCAGCAACTCGTCCAACAACCACATTTGGATACCTTCCTCTCGGCTCTTCTTCAAACGACCAAGAACGGGGCTGGGGCGAGGGCTTAGGGAGCGAACATCCTGCTGTACTAAGCTGATGAACTGAGTTTGGTTCTCAGAACCCACATGATGAAAGAGATCTGACTCTCAAAACTTGTTCTCTGATCTCCATGTGTGTTCGACACATGCCCACGTACACACAAAATTAAATAAATAGATGTGAAAAATTAAATGATCAAGGCTGTGTCTCTAACAATTTGTTAAGTCTGATTAGTTTGCCCACTACAATCTCAGCCTTTAGGCCTTTCTCTCTCTCTCTCTCTCTCTCTCTCTCTCTCTCTCTCTCTCTCCCTCTCTCTCTCGCACACATACTAAAAACAAAAACAACTCTACCCTCCCCCCACGTCCACATCCAGACACAGAGGTGTATGTGGGATTGGCTCCACTGGGCAGCTATTGGGAATGCCCCACAGACCATGCTGTAATCGTCAACGTCAGGAGGACTGGTATTTTCTTACATTCCGTTTTGAATTAGTGAAAGCCATAGTGGAGGGGAAAAAAAAAAGCACAGTTACACACTCATTGGTTTAGGCCCTGTCATGATTCCTTTCAAGAAGCTGCCAATAGATTTTAGTCATGTTCTGGCAACGGTTCCCGACCACAGACACTGCATAGCTGTTGAATGAGTCACCGCCCTGAGTAATCTAATTCTTGACCAGTACATGCCTGCTGCTGCTCCCAGTGCAGCGTCTGGCTGTGGGGTTTGTTTTGCTGAGCTCCCTGGATCTTCTTAAACACTTTCTAAGGGTCGAGTTAAAGACTTACTATGACTCCTTCGGGAGTCAGTGGCGTGTGAATTGGCTAGTCATCGAGAACCGAATGCTAAGTTTCATTAAGCCTTCTCATGCATTAAGCACAGTTTGTTGTGCCTTTATTACTTGGGGTGGGGGTGGGGGGTCAGGAAATGCAAACTAGAAACTTTGCCCTCTTGAGTCATGAGCCTTTTTGCTGAAGAATTCAGAAGGGAGAGAGAGAGAGAGGAGGGGGGTGTCCTGGGGAAAGATGTCAGGGGAGCAGAGCCCGCCCATGTCTCCAGACAGGCTCTAGGAATTCAGCATGTGCACCAGACGTCTGGATGCCTGTAGGAAGAACAGAGCAAAAGTATAACCAAACAGTTATTTCTATCAAAGACTAAATAAAGCAAATAGACTTCTGAGCTTATTTTTGCGTGTATTCGTGTCTAAAGGATATTTTCTTTATTTACATGTTCTAATCACAAGATTCCTTATCCGTGTGTGTGTGTGTGTGTGTGTGTGTGTGTGTCGCTTGTTTGTACATGCGTCTGGAGGTCAGAGGTCAACCTTTGCTCTTGTTCCTCATTATATTACATTTTTGCGGCTGTGATAAAACATCAAGACCAAAAGCAACTTACAGATGACATTATCTGTTTTGGTGCCAGAGAGATAAGACGCCATTGTGGCCAGGCAGGAAACTAGAATTCACATCTCCATCCACACACAGGAAGCGTAGAGTGGGGCCGGACTAGGAACTCTCAAAGGCCTCTTCCAGTAATGTACTTCCCCCAGCAGGACTCCACTTGTTAAAGGTTCCTTAACCTCCCCAAACACCACCACCAACTGGAGAAACATTTGACTCTATTTGAGGCACTTCTGCTAATGCACCACATGCAAGAGCCATCAACTGTGAATTTTGACAGTGTCTGTCACTGAATCTGGAACCCCCCAATTAGGCTAGGCCGCTTTGTGTGACAAGATTATTCCTGGGAAGACATAACACACACATCTGCTCACCCCATATAGGAAACCCATGGCATACCAAAGTTTGAATATCACCAAAGTTCAATTTGGTGAACCACGAGTTTTATTGGGGTTTCTTACAGGAATATGGGTGAGGGGTTACTTACAAGAGCAGAAATAACTCAAAGACAGCTGCACCACCAAGGTTCACCCCAGCACGGGTGACAGCCCACCAAAACTGGAGACCTGGAGCACATGGCACAACCTACAGGCAGTGCAACTGTCTGGAGAATGTACTTCCCAGGTGACTCAGTTGGCCTCTGCTTCTTCTGGGAAGCCGGTCTGGTCTCGGCCTCTTCTTTGTCTGTGGGTCTTCATTGGAGGGAGGGGCCTAGTGAACTTGGTTAGTTTCAGGAACTTCCTGACGCAATTTTGAGTTATCTTCTGGCTTAAGGATCTTCCCTATAGGATAGACCATTTCTATCTTGGAGGAAAGGGATACGTACCAGCTGGCTAGTCAGGGAGCTTGGGGATCCCCCATCTCAATCTCCCTAGAACTACGGTTGTAAGAGCATAACAGTATCCCATCATACCCTACTGTTTTTGCTTTTTGTTTTCTGAGACAGAGTTTATCCTGGAAATTGACACGTAGGCCTCAAACTCCAACTCACCACCATCTGCCTGCCTCTTTCTCTTGAGTGCTGGGATTAAAGGCCTGAGCCACTACAGCCAGCTATACCTGACTTTCTGTATGGATTCTGAAGATCAAACTCAGGTCTTTGCACTTGGTAGCACTTTCCAAACTATCTCTCCAACCCAGATTTCTTATTCTCCAGCCAGGAAATAGTTTACTCTTTAGGAATGGTAGGTAAAGGTATTTTAAATGTTGTAACGTTGTTTTTTTTTTATAAGGACAATTTCACCAGTGTCTGGCCAGCTTTCTCTGAGTTCTTCTCTCTTCTCGTCACCTTCTGATTTTCCTTCTTCCATGAGTGAATTCTAAATACTATCAAAATAGTTAATTTTGGTTGTCAACTTGAATGGATCTAGAACCAACTAAAAGGTCAGATGCTGGGCAGTCCCAAGAACTTTGTTAGATTATTTAAAGCTGGAAGACCCATTCTAAATGTGGGGGAGGGACACCTCTTAGCAGCAGACTGGGATAAGGGAAGATGGAAAAAGAAAATAGTACTTTTTTCCTGCTTGCTTTCTCTCTTGCTGGCAAGTTCATCTACCACGATGCTGCCCTTGTTTTATTCTGTCACGGATATTAGTACCAGCTTCCCCAGGGTTCTAAATTGCAGTGAAGACAAGCAGTCCACCAGGAGCCCTCCAGGCCTTCAGCACCAGACTGGGACTACTCCGCCTCAGGAACTAAGCAGGGATGGGATTCTTGGCATCTCAGGAAGAGACAGCCATTGTGGGGCTACCAGACCATCTTGTGTAAGTCAGTCTACTAAGTTCAATGTTAATATATGTTCATTCTCTCAGTTCTGCTCCTCTATAGAACCCTGGCTAACACACTGTGGAAAAGGAAATAGGAGAAATGAAAGAGATGTTCCAGAAATATGTTTCAGCCCTGCCATTCTATCTCGTAACCTTACTGAATGACAATATCAGGTCTTAAGCTTCTGCCCCGGGTGGGGAGACCTCTACATCAGCTAAGAGTGGTCATTTAATCACACCTTTCATGACTTACATTTTCAAAGCAATATACAACTCTCACAAAACCAGCTCCACTATCAAAACCGCCCTGAGAACAGACCTGCCACGACTGTAAAGATGAAGGAGCCCCGATGACATGACACAGAGACAGGAAGTCCAAAGACTCCATTCTGTGTTCTTTCTTCTCTATCTGCTAAGGCAGCTTGCCCTGAAGCAGCCATCTACATAGAGAAAGCTGCCTTATCTCAGACCAGGGCCTCCCCACCCCAGGACACAGCTTCTGCTTTCTCATCTTCAGAGCAAGGTTAGTGGCACTGGTGCCCACAGGTGAAGAGAAGAAAGTCAACCAATGTTGGAAGAGACTGCTTGTTCTTTACCCAGTCGCTCAGACCCAAATAATCACTCAGAATATATTAATTACAACATGCTTGGCCTAATAGCTTATGCATATTTCTAGATAACTCTTACATCTTAAATCAACCCATTTCTATTAATCTGTGCATCACCGTGAGGTGGTGGACTACCTGGTAAGGTTCCAACATCTGTCTCCTCTAGCGGCTACATGGCGTCTTACTGACTCTGCCTACTTTCTCCCAGCATTTAGTTTAGTTTTCCCGCTTAGCTCTATTCTGCCCTATCACAGACCAAAGCAGCTTCTTTATTCATTAACCAATAAAAGCAACACATATACCGAAGGGAATCCCACATCAAAGGCATGCCAGTGGAGAGGTGGCACACAAAGGCAAAAGTATCATGCTTTGGGATTCCAATTTATATTTAAAAGTTATAGTAGTCTAAACAATTTCACCAGCATAAAAATAAACACATGTCAATAGAACAAATATCCAACTTTATAAACCAACGGATCCTCAACAAGGCTACCAAGAAGATACAACAGAGGGTCCCCCTCACTCCTACCACCATCTCTCTCCTTCTTAGAACCCAGAATGGCCTCAATCTCATGGTCCTCTTTCCTTTTACTAAGACTACAGGTGTGTGCTGCCTCTAATTTTTTCCATAAGTGTGTTGGTAAACATGGATAACCACATGCCAAAGTATGAAACGGGGCCTTAACTGACGCCATACACAGGAATTTAGCCCTAGACGCGAAAACCTAAAACCAACAAACTAGAACAGGGTGTAGGAGAACACTTCCTTGGCCTTAGCAATAACTCTTTTGATGCTTTGTTAAAGACGCTGGCAACAAAAGCAGATATAAATAAACAGGACCACCCACAACAGAGCGTCTGCATAGCAAAGGAGACAGCCAACAAAATGAGCAGGCAGCTTGTTGTGTGGATGGAAAGGTTTGCAAAGCTAAAGTAATACACATAAAGAACTTACATAATGACTCAAATAACAAAAAGCAAATGGTCCAATTAAAAAGAGGCAAAGGCTCTATTCGAATAGAGACTTGAAAACTAAGCTCAAAATTGTCCAACAGGTATATGGACGCCCTCCTGGTCACCCATCATCAAGGACTGCATCTGAAGGCATAGTGAATGCTCCCCACACACTGATTAAGACAGCTATTACAAAGATGGCGAGTATTGGCCAAGGGGAAGATGGGAGGGATCTTTATGCTGCTGAGAAAAATGGGACTGGTTTAGCCATTTTGGAAGACACTATGGAGGTTCATCAACAAGTAGAACCTCTTTTAATCAAGTCTTCCAAGTACACACCTAAAGGGATTCTCCTGGGATGGACCCAAGAGAAATTAAATCAGCACGTGATAGAGATATTCGTGTTCCATGCTTACTACAGTCTTCATTGTGGCCAATATACACAAATACCCCAGTGTCCATGAGTAGGGGGGT